GGGCTTCAGATTTGGGAAGTGCAACTGCAGCTCAGGAATGTGAATTGTGGTTACTAGTGGGAACTTGCTTGCTGAGAAATGATGAATGAAAGGGGATGCGCTATATTGTTTAATGTACATAATGGAGTTTCTTCCAACTGCTCCATTTCTTTTTGTGTTTGTAACCGTGTCACAGGCTTTAAAATCTGTAGGTTTGTGAGCCACTACGGGCACAAATAAATGGAGCTCCTTTGGAGGATGCTCGTCACTTGGCTCACCGTTATGATAAACTGCGTCAAGATGTGGAAGCCCAGGTAAATTGGTCGACTTAGAATTGTTATGCTCAATGAAAAAAGAAAAGGAAAAAAATTCCATATTTGTAGTGAAAATTTCTCTTATTAGGTGGCTGAAGTTTTGAGGCGCCGGTTAAAATCCAGAGGCCCTTCTATATCTGAAGAGAGTTCAATTAAGCTTCAAAGTGCAGAAGCAAGATTGGCCGAGCTTAAATCTTCTATTATGGCTCTTGGCCGAGAAGCGACTGCTGCTATGTTGTCAGTTGAGGAGCAACAACAAAAGATGACATTCCATACACTTCTTACTATGGTAACCATACTTAATTTTTTTTTATGCTTGAAAAAAAATGGTTTAAAACTTAAAATGTTTAGAGGCTAGCATACCATTATAGCCACCGGTAGTAAGTATGCCTTCAGACCCACACACCAGAACTGTGGCCATTTTAGTTGAGACGACCACCGAGATGTCTGGATTGACTTGTTATATAATTTAATTTCTTGGATTTTATGGCATCTCTCTGATATGATTTACGTCTTGCTATAGTTTTAAACTGAAACATTGACGTGGATGTGAGATATGAACATAACATAGGGATACATTGATATAACCATTATTGAGATGCTAGAGTGTAGATGTAGCATGGAAATTTAATTTTAGTAATAGTAATCTTTGCTTTCATGCATAATCAAAAGTTAAGGAAAAAGCACTTGTCAGACGTAGAACATATCAATTGAACTACACAGGGTACTGATAAATAGTTTAATCTAAAGGTTATGGTGTTTGGTTGTAACCTTGAATTTGCTCTTGTCATGGCATTGAAATTAAAAAATAATCAATTTTCAGGTCGATGCTGAAAGATCTTACCATCAACATGCTCTTGTTATTTTAGAAAAGCTACATGCTGAGGTTTGTACCATGCTGCTTGGCTCTATACTTGTGCTTATATGTTTTTGCTCCTTGCAAAGATGAAAATGTCTAGGTTGACGGAATTGTTGAAGTTTTAATTTAAGGTTATTGGTGAAAATGTCTATTTAAAGTTTAGAACTTGAAAGATATTCATAAAATGCAGATATTTCCCTCTAAATATCAAAATTTTTAATGGAAGTTTACAAAATTTAATGTTGCATTACTTACACTAGTTTAGTAAATATGTTCTCCTGCACGTATGACGTATATAGGGCATGCAGGATCAATCTCAAGCATCCAGATGATAGTTTGCACTTCATGTAGGATATTAGAGTAGAAAATGTATATTGCGTTAACATAATTTTTCACAACAGTTTACAACGTGCCATGCACTGTCTTCCAAGGCTGTGCAATCTGCTGAAGTAAGATTTCATGTATCATTGATTATTTCACGACATTTTTCAAACTTAAGAGCATTGACATTTTCCAGCAGTGCGGAACATAATCAGAAAAAAAAATACATAACCGGGAAAAACACACCATTGTCCATGTCTTTTATTTCGTTGGAGTGACCCATTGTCTATGTCGAATACTTGATCGAAAGGCACAATGTCTAGTCAATAGGAATGGCATTGTTGATGTTTTAGATTGATTAAATTGAATGCTTCAACTATTTTCAATAGATTCTCTTGGCTTTTATGGGAAGAATTGATTGCCCTATTTTTCAAAAATTGCTTGGTATCAGATGACTTTGGAAAAACAACCACAAGAGTTTTCACCATCAGCATCAATGAAAATCCAGAAAGACGTGTTTGAATGGCTAGGACATCAAGATAATAAGTCAAATGGACGGAGTGATAATCATGGGCATCTAAATAAAGATGACAGCTTCCAGCCAAAAAATCAAGATGACAGCTTCCAGCAAAAAGGTCAAAATGACAGCTTCCGGCAAAAAGATAAAGTTGACAACTTCCAGCAAGAGAATCAAGATGACACCTTCTTTATTGCTAAAGTAAGGCCTTCTACTTCTTTTACACACACACACACACACATACACACACACGTATATATATATTGGTCCACAGACCAAGGAAATTACTTTACGTGTAACCTAGTTCTTGTTTTTTGAGCTACTGAAATTTGATTACCTAGGTACTTTTGCATATTACTAAATTGTAAAAGAATTTTCCGGATTTCTATTGTGATTTAGTAATATCCTTGATCTTGCAGGTTATACACCAATTTGATGCTCAAGCAGATGGCGAGTTGAGTTTATCTGTTGATGATTTTGTTGTCGTCCGCCAGGTACTTTGTCCACAACTAATTTCAGCTGTAGAAAGCCCCAAGAGTAGGAGCCCCTAAACTACATAATGAAAACACAAAAGCTTGATATATTTCTAAAGCGACTAGTCACTCCAGTTGCTGGTAGAATATGTTTTTCATCCCCTCGGAAAGTGATCAGGGCAAACTCATAAAATCGCGATTCAACACCAATGAAAATAGGACACTGTAATCACAGGCTTAGCTTTCTGGTAGTGATTCCACTACAACTTTTAATATTTAGAGTCAAAGTTCAGATTCCCCAACCCCCTAATAAAAGAAAATAGACATTGTCTTGGACCATTCTCTGATCTTGACGTATATCCTCAAACGTGTACGCTATGTTTTACACAAACTATGCATTTTCTACACGCAAATCACTCACTATCGGAAAACAATGGTATTTCACATTAAAAAATAATGTACCAGAAACAGCCGGTAGTGGGACAGGAAGACTCTTAACTAGACTTAAGGTGGTTTTTAATCATGGGAACGAATATCATCTTAAATGAGAGACCAACACAGTTTTGAAGATGATACGCTTAATGAAAAAGTAGTTACATGCCACATCATGAAAGTAAAATACAAGTCCGTTTTGTTTTGTTTTGTTTTGTTTTTTTTTTTTTTTTTTGGCTAAAAGTGAAATATAAGTTGTTAAGGGTAGAAAAGCTTGGACAAAAAACAGTCAATTTTAGTTTTACAAAGCTTAAAGAGTCTTGATTTTTGTGCCCTCACAATGTCGATGATAAAAAATTTCATGATGTATACCATTGTGCACGCAGTTATATATAGACACGGAGGTGGACAATCCATCTTAGTAATTTGATCTTCCGCTGCATCTTTTAATCAAACAAAATACTGAGAATTTGGTACAGATGATGTTAATGCTTCTATGTGATGTAGTTTTTAAGTTGTTAGCCCTTGAAACTAACAAGTAACAAGCCATTTGTAATCCCAATTGAAAGCAAGCTTATCTTCGCTTCCTTGTTTTGTTATGCACCGATGATATCACTAGGTGGCCCCTAATGGGTGGTCTGAAGGAGAATGCAATGGCAAGGCTGGATGGTTTCCCTCTGCTTATATACAACGGCAAGAAAAAGCGCCGGCGACCAAAATAATGTAAGCAGGCTTGTGAGCTGATCTCCAATGTTGTTTGTCCTTTATATAAATTTTTGTTAAAATTTGTATATTCTCTTTCTTTCTTGTGTATTAAAGCTTCATTTTGTCAAGTGCTGCACCGAAGCAGCTGTGGCCTTAAACGAGATATCAATGTATACTATGTACAAGAATCTATGTTTTCTGGTTTAAAATTGTTTGAAGGAAATTTATGCTTTTGAATAATGGATATGTGGATACAGACAGTTTGACTTTCCTCTATTGCTGTTTTCACTGAGGATCTTGCCAACCTTGAAAGTTGAAATAGGCAAAAGCCTACCATTTGATTCACATATGTTTCCAAACCTTTTTGCTACTACGTTTTATCTCACAAAAATTTGAATTTCCATTCAAATTTTCTGTTAAAAGTTTTTGGATTATATCTTTATTGTTTTTCCTCCTTGCCTCTTATTCAAGGCTTTGAACCCAAAATAGTGAAAACTGATCTCTCTCTCCCTTCAATTTGAATTTCCATTCTTCCTCTTCAATTCTTCTGATGAATCTGATCTCTCTCTCTCTCTCTCTCTCTCTCTCTCTCTCTCTCTCTCTCTCTCGACTGTTTCTCAACTTTCCTTTCAATTTGCTCTTCTACGTCCTTCAGGCTTTTGGGATTTTTTTTTCATTTTAATCCCTATACCTTTTAAAATATTGCAGAATATATTAAATTATCCTAAATTTATCTTTTTATCCATTAAACTATTAAAATATCAACCATTGTTCATGTAAAATTTTAAAATTAACTCCCTCTAAACTGCATATAATCCTTATTTGTCCTTTTTCATCAAGATTCTAATAATCGAATGGATACAAAACTAATTTTGGATAAATTTGATTAATGTATATTATAAATTTGTTGATGAAGTAATTATATAAAACGTCTACTATAAATGATCTCGATCTAAAAGTGTCTACTATTATACAATACTATAGAAATATCTACTTGTGCGTAATAAGAAATATATTATACCCGCTTTACCCCTATAGAGTATTTTGAGCATGTTCCTTATATGGTGTTTTTTTTTTTTTGTGGGATTATTTTTCATAATGATATTAGGATATTTTTTCTGATCATTTTGAGGATTTGACTTTTCTTTTAAGTCTCACTTAATATTTTGTAATTATTTCAATGATTTATTATTGATATGGGTTTTCGAACACGAGTTTCCCTCCCCCTTTTTCTAAAAAAACTTTCGTGCCTTGTTTTACTTGTTATAACGTAATCATCCAAGTTTTTTGTTGACATTGGTGTTTTTTCCATTGTTTGTTGTGACTGGGATTTGTAGCCGCCGCATTCGGTTGTTGTGAGTGGAGGTGCATTCATTGTTTTTTGTTTTCTCCAGTGTTTCTTGTGGCTGCGATTAATTTGCAGAGGTGCGAAACTGTAGGTTTATATGGTTTCTATGATATTAATTTGAAGAGGTGCATTCCTTCTATGAAATTACATCTAGAAAAAATTTTATAGTTTTGATTGCTCATGTTTTTTTCCTTTTTTCTCAAAGTGATATATCATCCATTGTTTGTAATGATACTCGTATTATTATAATGAATTGAGTGCATTTTTGTTGATATGTCCTGTGCTTTTTTATTGATTGTTTGATTTATTATCTTAGAGTGCTTTTTTTATTACTTGTTCGTAGTAATGAAATTAAGCTTTATTTTATCCCTTGCAATCTTGAAATATATTTCTTTATTTGTTCATGTATCTATCTTGTATTCGTGTTGTTCCAATTTTTTTTTTTTATAAATTTTTATATTTAATCTCTTTTATAATGATATCTCTATTAAAATAATAAAATACTTATTATTGAAAACATTTTCATGTTTCTAATGTATTACAAGTTATATTTCATAATGATATTATCATTATGTTAATGAAAACGCATACTCATTTGTACATTATCGTGTTTCTTTAGTATTATATTCATTTTGATAATGAAGATTAATTTACCACGCATCTGATCTTCTATATTTTAAGAACTTGCTAGATGATTGCTTTTTTATTGTGAATTGTTATATTTATTATTGTCTGAAATAATATCGTCATTACAGTAATGAAAAATCTTTTTTATGAGTTCATGTCTCATGTATAATTGTCGTTTCAGATTTCTTACAACTTTTATCTTCAGTCTGTTTTATAATGATATATCTATTAAAATAATGAAAAAGTTTATTCTTGATACATTTTCGTGTTTCTTATGTTTGATAAATTCTATTTCATAATGAATAATGATATTATCATTGTCTTAATGAAAATGCATACTCATTTGTATATGGTGGAGAGGATTGTGGAAGGACATTGTTTTATAGAGTTGGTGATTCTAGTTTTTTTTTTCTTTTCTAATCAAAAAGTGTGTTTTGTGTTTACCAATATTTTAAAAAAAAAAAAATTATTGTGATAGCTTTTATTATTTTTTAAAGAGAAAAAAAAATTATGTGATGCTTTGATTATTTTTTAAAGAAACTTTACCTTTATTTAAATACGCATCTTTCATTAAATGTAATATTTAGGTTTCATTTGATTTTTGTATTGAAAATCAAATTATGATTTTATTTTGAAGACTATCCTATTGTACTTTGTTTTTTTTTTTTTTTTTCCTTTTTCATTATATAAAGATATAAGCGTCCTTATATGCATGCTAGTGAATAGTGTTGTAGATAAATACATAAGTAGATATTTTTAGATTTAGGACGTTCAAAGTAGTCGTTTTTGTATATAATCTTTTGTTGATTCTTATTCAACTATCAAATTGTGTTTAATTTCATTTTTTTTCTTAAAAGTGAAATTTCACGACTTTCTTGTAAGCTTACACTACTATTTTAACAACTTCATGATATGTTTTTTTTTTTTAATTATTTACGTTTGCATCTCCATGTTTAGGGATAAAAATACTGCACAAATTCATTAATATAAGCTAAATTAGTATATGTATTTAGATATTTTCATGACAGGAAACAATTAGAAACAATAATTCTTTTCTTTTTTTTTTTTTTTGCTACACTTATTTTCATTAGTTTCTTTTTTATTTTATTTTATCAAGATACTCGTTTGTTCCTATATATTTATGTATTTAAATAATCAACAATTTAGGCATTTATTCAATTATTATTTTAGCAGATCAATTAAAAAAGAAAAAAAGAACTCAAACAATATCACTATATATCTTACAACCTCAAGGGAAAAAACGCTAACAAAAAAAAAATCTTATACGAATATGTAGAGGAAATAAATAGAAAAAAGAAAAAGAAAATTAACATGGAGCAAAATTCCTAAATATATATGTAAAATCTATAGGCAAACGAAATAATAAACTAATTAGGAAGAGAGCATTGTTGTCTGAGCCAGGAAGGGTAGAAAAGATCCGGAAACTGTCGAGACAATTCGCTGAAGCAATCCTCTCCCCAACTGGCCATGGCGGAGCAGCAAGCCGGCCCCATTCCCAATCTCTTGTCGAAGAATCCGGACATGATTTCGTTAATGCAAGACTGCATGGTGTCAAGGAAATTCCAACACTTATTTGCAGCTTCTTCTGGAGGAGGCAGAGATGACGGCGGCGGCGGTGGCGACGGCAGCGTCGGAGACGAGTTCTGGTCGGGATGTTGGCAGTAGGCTATGGATCGAGGCCAAAATTCGGGCCAATGGCCACCGGGGCACTGCTCGGCGGCGTTGAGGAGGAAAGCACAGCAAGTGGAATTGATTGGGCTGCCCTTAGTTCCTTCGTGGCCGTTAAATTGGAGCGAGCATTGCAAATATGTGTCTTCATTAGCGGGCGAATCACAAAGGCCACTCGGAGCCTGCGGTGATGGCGGCGGCGGGGGCGGCAGATTCGAAGAAGGTGGAGGTGGAGATGACAGTGGTGGCAGCGGGGACGACTGAGGCGCAGACGGGTTCAGCTCGGGATGCTCATGTTGACAATAGGCTAGCGCTTGAGGATATAAAACATCGGGCCATACGTCACCGGCGCACTCGGCGGTGGCGTTGAAGAGAACTGCACAGCAAGTGGAGTTGATCGGAGTGAGATTATTATTTCCGGATTGGCTGGCGAATTGGAGCAAGCATGGCAATGCGTTACGCCCGGCGGGGCAATCCGAAAGAGCATGTGGAGCCCGCGGCGGCGCCGGTGGTTCCGGTGGCTGATCAATCGGCTTCGGAAACAATGGAAAAATCTCAAAAAAAAGTATTCTCCTAGACGGCCGTGGCTTGGCAGAAGGCTGTCCGACCGTGAGAGTGAAAGCAGCACTAAATGTGAACAAGAAGAGGATGAAGATTGAAAGCTTCTTCATGTTTACTTGAAAAATAGAAGAGTAGAGAGAATAAAGGGACAACTCAGAATTTAAAGAGAGAGAGGGAACAGGAGAGAATATACGAGTGTTGGGTATTACTAATCAAGTTTGGCATGAAAATAATGAATATAGAGAGGTCTATTTATAGATAGGCAAATTTTAAAGCTGTTCTAATTAGAATTGTAGAGCAAATCTAAATCATAATAATAATCAAATTATAATAAATAAACAATACAGTAAATATCTCTAAACTAATTCAATTCCTAAAATAACTCCAACTCCTTAAGGAACTCTGTTTATGATCTCCGTTTATTTATTTATTTATTTTGTATTTAATTTTATTTTCTTTAAAGCTTATAGAAAGTAAAATTTAATAGCCTAAAGGAAAATTGAACGGCTCTTCTTCTGTATAATTATTAGAGTGTAAAAGTCAATATCCTAAAATAATGAAGTGTATTCTATCTAAGCTCTAAGGCATATATGAGATAATTGAATCCTATTAGCCATAATTTTTAAATATCCTTTTTTCTAATTCTTTTGCTCGATCATAAATGTCTTATTAGATAATAACGTTGTTTTGAGTAGTATAAATTGTTACTTATGTAACGTTAATAATTAAGTATAGCTTTTCCCATTTTCATTTTTGAAGTTAATATTTTCCTTTTATAGTTTTAATTTATTAATGTAATAGAGAACTGATGATGATGACGACAACTCTTTTCGAATTTATCAAGCAAAATTTGGATGCATGTGCTAGCTACTAATCGTGTATATTGCCATTTTTCTAATGACTTTTCAACATTACTTTACACTAGTTTACATTACTTTACACTAGTTTTGAGAACGAGAGTCACTTAATCATTTCATTAGAGAAATTCATATTGATTTTAACCACATAGCAGTCG